GCCACTTCCTGCCGAAAACGCTGCAACACATTCCAGTCGACACTTTAAGAACATTCTTAGAACCAAAAATTTCAAGCTGGTTAGTAGTATCCATCACTGAAATAGAATTGCTCATTGCGCTGTTTACAAGACCCAGAAAGGCTATAGAGACATATCAAAGCGTTTAAAAGTCCCAGTGTCCATAGTGCACAGCATCATCAAAAGTACAAGTTCCACACTGTAAAATCATAAAGAACGTAGTAGGAAGACAGAAGAGATCTCTGCAGAATGTTCCCGGGATCCCAGGATCATCATCAAGACCATCGTGATGAGTCTGAGAAGTTCTGGGACCAACATCTCAATCAGACACTCCAGCAGACATTGAACAAGTCTCCATGAATGATGACCAATTAAGACTCCACTTCACCCAGACAGATACACAGAGCTAGGCTGGACAAAGAAGCAAGCTTTTGGTTGTGGTTCTGTGGTTGGTTGAGATAAAAATGGATTTGTTTGGACTCACACATGTTTATTTGCAGCCAGAAAAAAAAAAAAAAAAAACTACTGGTGAAATAAATGTTCACTATATATAAACACAAATGTCTTGTAGATGTGAATGGTTTTGGGCTGTGCATTTTGATGGATGTTACTGTAAGAAGGCGGAGAGATGTAATAAATCCTCTGCTGCCAAACTCCTGTTTTTGAAGTTTGTCGGTTTCCTGTGTTTGGGTCAGACTCCCAGATAATCTTGATTTGCTTTTTTGTTTGGTGTAAGATGTGCCCTGTAAATAATATTGTGTTGGATGAGCATTTGTTACATTTGATGCACCCTCGGACCCCTTCATCCTGATACAGACAACTCCCCTCAAAATCACTATTTTACAAAGTTACTTACATCTTTTCCCCTTGCCACCCTGATCCCAAATTGAAAATAAGTAGGAGTGATTTTTTCTGTAATTGCATGATAGTATCTGCATTCAGTGATCTATCTGTTCAGTAATAAAGGTTTTATTTTAATTTGTCAAAGGAGGTTTGTAGAAGTAAGTATAAATTTACAGCACAAGACATACGTATGCTTTTCACTGCTGTTTTAGGGTGGCATGAAAATTTGCCTGTTCTCACCACAAAAACTGCTGTTGAAGAGCCTCTTTCAGGGATATTTACAGGTGACAAAAAGCATCCATTTTGTAGGTACTTCTGAGTGGACCTTTCACCTGCCACAATCTCTTACAATGGAAAGTTGCCTATTGAAAAACAACAGGTTGTGCCAGAGCCTAAGATAACAAATTTATCTGGGGATTTCCTGAAGAGTGCATCAGTGTTGACTTTACAAAACATTTGGGACTTAGTGTTTTTGCAACAAGGATAAGTAGAGCTATTTTAAGCTAATTTTCTTTGTGTTGCTGACCCGTTTGTGAACTATATAATTTGTTTATGGATTCAGTCAAACTCTGGAACCCTTCAGAAGGGGAAAGTGAACGGTAAGGGGGCCATAAACTTGGATCTTCCTGAACTTCTGGTCATACTATAAAAGTGACCACCTCGTCTCTCAGTTGAACTCAACCCTACACTTTTTAGTGTTTCCACAGAGACAGCACATGTGTGAAGGATGAAGCTTTCTGCACAGCAGTAGACACATAGTCAGAGTCACATACCTTGAAACTCACAGCAAGACACCTGCCTCCCAGGCAAGCGAGGAGAAGAAGAGGAGCCCTGAACTGTAACAGAGCTGTGCGTTGTTCTCTTTTGATCAGGCCAGTGGATCAACACACCGCTGTGCTTCTCAGGACCCCAGGCACTTATTTTTGTCCTTTTTACAACATGGTGTTGACTTAAGATTGTAATGATATCACACCTCCCCATCATGCTGTGCTCTCTGGGAAGTAGTGAGGCAGTGAGAGAGAGCTTTCACAAGGCTACTGACACTCTCAGCTGGAGCAGATGTTGTCATGCACGATCAAATGTACAAGAACAATATGAGACCAGGAGCTGCTCTGATTGCTTGATCACTTATGTTAAGATAGTGTCTCAAGTGATGTGGATCTTCTGAAATAAGTCCTCTGTCGGGGTCACTGTATCAAGTTCTGCTCCTTAATTGTATTTATTTTGGCCTACAGACAGAGCCATTCTATAATAAATGTAACCCTGTTTTTCCTCTGAAAAGTCCCTTGAAATATTTTTTTAAGGTAGAAATGCAAATATTTTTTTTACACCTTGAGGCAATAATTTAGTTATGATATTTGCAGTTTGGTGCACTCAAGAAACAATATGTCAGGTATTTGGCTGTTTCAGCAATGCATCAAATGGAACATTTCATTACACAGCAATCACAAGATTCGGGCAGATATAATTAATATCATGAACAACTTTGTGATCTTTGCTGAAATAAAAAGAAAAAAACTACTTGTCTGTTGATTTGAACAATGCTAGACTGCTCAACATGTGTCAGCAGGAGAACAGTAAGAGTTTTTGAGTGAAGTTTTGGCATTAGCTTATGTTTCTCTTGCACTTACAAAACAAAGATAATATTCCCCAAGTGCATCTAACTTGTTCCTTAAATATGAGACTAACTGTCAGTGACACTTCCCCCCCTGTGCTGCTTGACCACGGATTTCAGTGAACCACATTCACACGAAAAGTTGGCAGGGAAACTATGTTTTATAGTTTATGATGCATTTTCACATTGCAGTTTTGGCAGTGTTGCTATAAAAAACTACTCCATATTTAAATATAATGCAGTGTATGCACACAGCCAAGAACAAGCACACACAGACAGAACATGTCCTCTGAGCAAGTGTCAGCATTGTTGCTTTCTGGACATTGATTTCTCAGTGGTTTGTTTTGAAAAAAGATAATTATGCATGTGAGTGGTGTAGACTTAGAGTAAAGCCCCAAATTATTCATGCCCATGCCAAATTTTGATTTATGGTGACTTTTTTTTTTTTTTTTTAAAGCAATAGTGTTCTTTTGGCTAGAAATGACATTTTGTTGGAGATGTTAATCATTGTTTTTGTTTATGTCTGTGTTTTTGTACATTTTACAAATAAAATCCAAGGTCCAAAATTTCTTTCTAAGCAATCAGCAGCAAAGCTTTGCATGTCAGTCAAACAGCTAGTCTTTCTGTAAGTCTCCACGTCGCTTCTGTTTAACTGCTCTTTATGATGATCTCCAGGTCTCTGAGGTTGAAGTCTTCCTTACTATCACTCTGGTCTTCAGTTCTGGATGGTTATCTGGATTCCAGTCTGGACTGTATGTTTCAGCTCATCATCTTGAGATCTTCAATGCTGCCCAAGGTTTTTCTGCTGTTTTCTGCTTTCTGACTTACTGAAGCTTTCCTCCACAATCTTAATGTCATCATAATGCCATTTATTTGATGAGGCTGCCTGGTCTATCACCTGAAAAACACTGCAGTAGCACTGCATTCCCACCACCATGCCTAACCCTAAGGAAGGTGTTCTTAGCATTGATTGCTTCTGCTTTTTTTTTTTTTGTCAAACCATGGTTACTTTCCTGTGTCCATACAACTCCATTCTAATTGCTTCTGACCATGGAAATGACAACCAAAAGCTTTCTTCTTTGTCCAGGGGAACTTTTGTGTGTCTGTCTTGGTGAAATAGAGTCCTCCTTTGTCATTGTCCACGGAGACCAACCTTGTTCAGTGTCTGTTGTAGTGTCTGTTTGAGAATTTGCTAGCAGAATTGTTCAGATTCATCAAGATGGTCTTAGTGGTGATATTTGGATTCTTCCTTTTAAAGAGGGAATCTTTACTTGTCTTTTAGAATATGTTAAGAAATTTTCATTTAAGTGTCATTGAAACTGCTTTGCTAAACTGCATATAAAATACACCATAATATTGTAGTTCTTCGCTATTTATGAGGTGAATCCTGTAAATGTACTTATCATGTAATAATTCAGAGCAAAGCAAACAGCCAGGCTGTGTTGTTGTGTTGACTGACAGATAAAGACACTACATTAATTAATACATTATAGAAATGTCACTGTGAACTAAAAAAAAAAAAGAATTTGAGAACAACTGATGGAATTACATAAAAATGACAGAAAAGCAACAAACTGTTTCATTGCTATATATTGCATCTTTATTCATTCACAATACATTATTTCATAATGTCCGGATTATTATTTTTTTTTTTAACCCTCTGAGCCTCCAAACCTCCATTAATTTGGACAGTAGAACATTAAAAATTGCTACCTGTACCCATGACAAGTGTGCTAATCAGATTTCGAGCCAAAAATGTATCATAAGACACTAAAACAATGCAAGACTAACATTCAGATGAAAAATAAAGGAAAAGTCTGAACCCCTGACCCCCAGTGAGGGTACCTGGTGGCTCTGTTATGCTGTGAGGACATTTTGCTGCCATGGTTTAGGTCCATTCATCAGGACAGCACGTTGGCTGTTGTTTTAAATGTGCTATACAAATAATGGTGACTTGTCTTGACTTGACTGTTATGGTCTTGTGCGTGAACAATTCTGCTTTTGTTGCATTTTGAATTTGTAGTTTGTTTGTTTGTTTTTGTTTTAACTTCATCTTACTTGTTGTTATGTTTCAGGGTATCCTGCTTTTGTGCTGTCTGCCAAAACATGTTGTTTTTAAAAGTGTAAAAATAAAATATTAATTCTTCTTCTTTTTACTGTTTGGCAACAAAACAAAACAAAACAAAACAAAACAAAACAAAACAAAACAAAACAAAAATGATGATTTCACAAAATAAAGTAATGCTTAGATTTGTGAGCAATTAACCATATGCCAAACGAACACTAATTATATCTTTAGAGATGTACTACTTAGAAATACACACCCACATTAATCGTGTCTCGGATAAAACAGAACGTTGTGTTTCTCGATCCGTCCTGGTGGTGGCGCTGTGCCAGAGCGCACTCAGCCCTCACACAGGTTGCCGCTCTTTAATGAACCCTCCTCTGCTGCTACTATTTGCTCTCTTCCCATTGGTCGGTCTCACAGCCACTTCCTGCTACGTAATGCTTTTGCGAAGAGTCCGGTTTGGTTTACGGATGCTGAGGAGGCTCGTCGGGACTCTCACTGTAAACTCACAAACGGTTCTGGTCGGTTCTGGTAGCAGCCTGTAAACAGTCAGCCGGTCAGACATGGCCCAGTGCTCCGAGCCTGCTACCGTCAGCTCCGCGGTGAACGGAGAGCTGAAGAGGGAAAGGAAGGTGGCCGTTATCACCGGCATCACCGGCCAGGTAACGTTACTGAAGCACTCAACCTGTGTCTACGTTAGCTGCACTGTGGGATCAACTTGTTCAAAGCCAAAGTCACAAAATTGTGCTTTCTCGTGTTTTTTTTTTTTTTCTAGGCACAGTTTTTGTCGCTGCTACTTCTGAACATATATTTCCACGTTGTTCTTGAGGAGTGTCAGATGTTTTGTTGAAAGCTGCTGGTGTCAGTTACCCATGTGTCAGGTCACTGTGAAACCTAAACTACATCTTTTGCATGTCTTTTGTCTGTGGCATTGCTGATGTGCTAAACCTTTTGAAATGGGGGAGATTAAGCCTGGAGCTGGAATTAGCTTTATGTTTTCACCTCATGTTTCAAGGGAAAGGGATTTTCCAAAATCTCCTTCCTCTTGTCATTTTAGACATCTACCCCTGAGACTGCTGTAAAATCTCCAGGTTACACATTCGCCACCTTTCCATGAAGTGAGGTTTTGTCCTGTAAAATTCTGTGAGGAGCAGCTAAACAGGAACAAATAAGTCCATAAGTACACATAAGATTGTTCTGTCAAAAATGTCCTTGTTCTGCTCAGGACACCACCTCGTTGAGGCGTCACACTGTGTCCGTCCAGTTACTTTCTTTTGGCTGCAGGTTCTGTGTCAGTCTTACGTTGTTCAGCAGTTTGTTTTCAGAGTTCTTCCATGTAGCTTTCATCCCTCCAGTCTTTAGGAGTCTGTATAAGAGCTCTAGCTAAATCACAGGTAAACCTCAATCGTACACACGTTAACTGATAAAAACGTGGAAAGACATTACTTACTACTACTTGTTACACATACTACTACTACTACTACTACTGCATTGCAACAAAAGTAGTGTATACATGGTTGGTCACAACTAATTGGTTGTATGTGGCTGAATGGACGCACTGTTAAAATATGTGTGGAAACAACAGCTTTAGAGAAATGGTTCTGCAAAGTCTCACAGTTGCTTTTGGTTCTCTAAAATCATTGCCTTTCTAAAATAACAAAAACTAAACATTCTAACTTTCCTGAAGGTAAGATGTTTTCCACACTGTTGTATTAGATTGCAGTGGTTTTAATTAGCTGTACCTAATAAACTGACAACTAAGTGTAGGTATTTGTTGTGTTGGTTTGTTGATAGTGTGTTGTCTCTGTGTTGCCTGCACTCCTGCATCTCGTCTGTATTTGTAATCATTCTGGGACATCATCATGTTGTTGTTGACATTGATATGTGTGTGGTGGAGATCCTTGCAGAATTCAGAGCAGTGTGTCTTTTATTTTGGAGTCAGGAACTTGGGCGTGAATTTGACAGTGTGCGGTGCAAGTTCAAAGTGGACGAAGGTGTTGCCTGAATTGTTGAAATATCATGATGACTATGTCAGCAATTTCCCTGATGTTTATCTGACGATCCTGTTCTGTTTGTTCAATTTCTTGGAGATGTTTGATGATCCAGTGCTGTTTTGCATATTTACAAACAAGCATGCCAGTGATTATCATCTTGTCCAACTCATCGCTTCATCTCCATAGGCTTCCGTAAAGCATATCTAGTCTGTTTGAGTTTAAAACAATTTTTTGATGTTCACTCTCCATTTTGGGATATTTCATGATGTTGCAGATACACACTAAAACCCCGTAACATTTGGCTTGTTCATCATGAGATGTGATATAACAGGTTGCCACATGACTTTAAAACATTAACGTTTTTGTCGGTAACACCAAAACGCTGAGCTTAAAGTTGCTTTAAATTGCCAAAGTTCCAAAAACCTTTTCGCGTATTGTCCAAAAGGAACTGCTAATTACATTTTTAAACTAACAAGCGCAAAAGTTTTGTTTTCAAAAAAGTGGAGGGGTAGGAAATTTCTGAGGAGTGTTATGCAAGTGCAAAGGGGATATTGAGTACAGGATTGATTGTTTGCCAGTGACTGACCAGCTAACTAACAGCGGTGGAATGTGATGACCAGAATATAGAATCCAATGGAAAATTCATTAAAATAGCTGTCTTTTCCCAACAATCTGTTGCCACAATAACCAATATGAAGTAGCTCGTAGTAGGTATTGTGTTCTGTGTAATAGTCTCTATTGTCATTGTTCTTAACCTCTGAGTTGCAAACTCTCGGTCAAAAGGGGATGTTAAAGGTAAAGACCTAACCTTACTGGTACTCTTGTACAGACTGAATGACGTGAGCATGGTGAGTGTTGACACTGTTAGAGTGATGATATTATCACGATGCTATCATGTTACTCCTATGGCTTTAATATTGCATATTTTATCCTAGCAGGTTGGGAAGTGATGTCATCACCATTGTGTGAACAGGAAAAGACCCATAACTCAGTCTTTCATGAAAAACAGACAAACAATATCCCATTCTATATTCTAGTCAGAGACGGGGATTAGATATTGTTGATTTGAGGGTGTCCAGTTTAACATAGTAAATGTTTATTGGTTTGCAGTTGCGCAAAAAATGTAAATCAATGATTCATCAGTTGGCTTTTGCATAATTTTTTAATGTTTTCGTTTCTCAAGTTGAATGCAGTTAGTTGTATGGTAGATTTAATTAACTTGTAATTATGTAGTAACTATATCATAATAACTATTATAATTATTATTGTTTTATTTCTCGTAGGCATGTTGGTAAAGCTTACTGATTGAATTTTGCTGTCTTCTGTTTACTGTAATATTAATATGTGTCAGTTTCTACACAGAAAAAATTAATCTCTATATTATGTCATTACAATTTCTTAACACACATGGGCAGAATCACATGAATCGATAAGTTCATAATTCATTCAAAGGATGAATACAAATTCATGATATTATATGAATTAAATAGGCATGATTAGTTTCTGCACTCAATCCTTTCTTTCAAGTTAATTACACAGAATTGATCCTCTATATGGCAATTTAGACAGTCTATATTATATACCAGGGCATCTTAAACCTGTTATTCAAAGGTTCACATCCGATTTTTGTTGGACGTCAGAGGTCCAAAATGAATGGGGATTAAAAAGAAAACGACAAAAAAACCCAAAAATTTATTTAACTCACATCTTTTCTTTAAACAGCATACATTAAAATTCAAGCCTGTTTCCCTGCAATCAGTTGCTTCAGTGCTAACCCTTGAATTCTGATGCATGATTATACCACAACTGTCACATACCGGGTAATTGGGCCAAAGCAAAACTGAGGGAGACATGACTGTTATGACAGTTATGGTCCTCAGACCTATTTTTATAACCACACTACACGTGTTGTACAAATTGAGTTAACAAGACACATTCTGTTCCTGTGATTTAGGAGCTAATAGCAAATTTTCTGGTGTGACGGTAATTTATGAAATCCAAAGCAACAATACACAACACTCTCACCAAAAGTGAACAATTGGGAAATAAGCCATATTACCACCACATTCATCTGGACAAGATTGCTGTGAATATCCTCTACCTATACTTTATATTACACTGATTAGCTACAACATCAAAACCACCTGCCTAATATTGTGTAGCCCCCGGCTCTGCTGCCAAAATAGCTCAGAACCATCAGAACATGGACGTGGAACCGCTGGGGTTGTCCTGGGTTGTCTGGCACCAGAACATTGACAGTAGATCCTTTAGGTCTTGAAGGTTGTGGGGTGGTGCCTCAGTGGATCAGGCTTGTCCGGCGCATTCTGCTGATGCTGATTGGATTGGAATCCAGGGAGATTGGAGGCAAAGGCCAGTGCCTTGGGCTCTTTGTTGTGTTTCTCAAGCCATTCCTGAGTAGTGTTTTCAGTGTGGCATCAGAGTGCATCGTGCAGCTGGAGGAGGCTGCTTCTGTTGTGGATTGCTGTTGCCATGGGGTGTGTGCTTGGTTTGCAATAGTATGGACAGTGTGTCAGTGTAATATCCACATTAATGCAGGACTCAAATTTTCTAAGCAGCACATTGCATTGCAACAAGATGATCGGTGCTGTTTATTTCACTTGCCAGGCATTTGTTACACATTCCATTCCAATTACTTTAGTTATAAATGTAACTAAAATTCCATGAACTGTTTAAAATGGTTTTATCAGTTTATTTTGGGAATAAAAGTTAAAATAGAATTAGATATGCCATGAGAGAAGCTCTTATCCATATTGTCCATATTCCCTGATCTTTGAATCACAATACGTGCAGTTTAAGTAGCAGTCGTGGAAATAATGTTAGCACAACTCTTCCACGTGACCTTTCTACAGTAAAGAAGTGCTCTGGTCTTGAGAAACCTTAATGTCCTGAAAGACTAGAATAGACGTTTTTGTTTTTACGACATTGCTCAAGCAAGTGCAGTAATAAAAACCTATCCAAGGCATTTATAGCCTTGGTTCTGTTTGTGCATGTATTCATAATTATGTGGATATTTGTATGGACTTGTGTTGTTATGCACACACAGAAGAGTAATGTCTGTCTCTGCAAGATGATTTGCATCAGAGCAAATAAGCAGCAGGGAATAAGCAGAAGCTTAAGGAATATTTCATGGTTCGAGGTAAAAGTTGTCAGTTAACCAGAATGCAGCCCTGGAGAGACAACTGTCGAAGGTCTTGGAAAGTCATTTTCAACATCTCACATTCCTTTGTCAGGCAGCACTTTCCAAAGCTCCATCTCCCCTTGCCCTCTTTAACTGAAAAAAAGAATAACAGTGTTAATTCATTTTTATTTTGCCGGTCATGGCGTTACTGTTGAATACCAAAAGCCTATGCAGGAGGCAGGCAGGCATCTGGATACACCATCTCAGAAGTCACTAGCCAGGCCACAGGGGTCACAGTGATGCCATAAATCACCTGCCTAACTACTGTTCATAAATTTCAGGGAAGCATGCTGCTCAGTCTGAATATTTCTGACTGCTGTCTCAGTGTGAAGTATTGGGGTGAGAGGGTGTGAGTTATGGGAGACCACCTGAGTGCCAAGGCAAAGCTGCAGAGCTGGGCAGGGGCTCTGGCTGATAGTGCTGTTTTACGAGCCAGGGTTACGAGGAGGACAGGTTTACCCTTACTGTG